GAGGAGAGAGGAGAGAAGAGAGCGCAGAGGAGAGGAGAGGAGAGAGGATGGCCCCGGACCTGAGTCTCCTGATTGGTTTCGCGCGTGGGGTGTTATTGTGATTCGGTGTACGTGTCACGTGTCTGCATTCGGGTTCGTGGATCCGATGAGGGTTTGGAGTGGACTCGTTTAAGCGAGCATGGTGGCCTGAGCTGTAGGAATGACGCCAGTCGGTTGTAGGCGTCACGCACTCCTGAGATGGCAGCTTGTCACCGCGCGCATGATAAAACCAGTTTGCAATGCACAAAGCCACCTCACGAATGCAACTCGGAAGATACCTTCCGTTATTGCGGCTCTGTGGCCGCTGGTGCTTGCAAATCTCTGATCTATGGAGTCTCGGTGCAGCATGTGCACCTCAAAGTGGCCAGTGCTGAGGTTGATGAGGTGACATGCCAGAATCTGCTGCAGAGCGGCTCGAGCATCTCCAAGCAGTCGGGTGACGCCCTCTGCAAAAAAAGTAAAGTAGGCACGCCTGCGGCTCAAATTGTACCACTTATACCTGAGCTTGGCATAATGACATGGTGGATCACATGCCAGGCAGATTCATATACAAACGTGTTTGATGCAGCCACGTGACGACATTGAGGTTGGCTTTGAAACGGCCACAAAGTCTGATGTGGCAAATTCTCGCAATGGCGGACGCGGTGGATCTTCTTTGCCACCTGCGTACCTTGAGTGCCCTTCATCACATGCTGTCCAGCCGTCCATGGTCAGCTCTGCGCTTTCATACAAGGCACCAGTTCAACGTGTCGCCGTAGGCGGAATGTAGCCATCGGATTGGATCACAAACCAGAAGCACAACTCTCGCGGAGGGAACCAAAGACACCTTTGATGACCACAGCCCTCTTTGTCCAGCAAACGTACATGCCGCAGAATTAGCAACCCTACGCAAGAAATCCAGCAAGATCCAGAACCAAACACTGAATATGTTATATGTTGAGCAGCCATCTTCATGATGATTCGCTGGAAGGCATAAACAGGATTTCGCTCCCCGATGACCTGCGCACCTTTTCCAGACGAGAAAATTTGTGAAAGACACGCGAGATCTGCCCAAGCGCTCTCTTCCCTCGCCTCTCTTCACCGGGCCGATAAGCTCCGTGTCCCTGAAGCCCGGAGGTCTCGCGCCACCCAGGCAGCACAAGCCTCTTCTGCAAGTTTGCAAACTTAGCAAACTCACTAGAGGACTTCCTATCGCTCAACCTGCATTGAATCGGCGGACCAAGTCAGCTGGTGGAAGCAGGCGACCCCCAACCTGCCAGAAGAAGTGGCCATCCTGCGCAAGTCTGCTTGACAACCAGAATGCGCACATGGTTGAGCTTCTCTTGCTGCACGAAAACAGATGCAATGTGAGACATACTACTTCCTGCGCGTTTTGGTTGTCCGTGTTGCTTCGTGCATCCATCATCGTGGGTGGGAAGAATTGAACCTGAGACTGGCCGTGGGCTCTGACTAGCTGACAAGCGGAACATGTACAGTCTGGCAATGGTCTGGCAGTCGGGGTCACAAATTGCCACGGTAGTGGCAGTGGCTGTAACAAATGGTGGCGGGGGTTGGGGAGAGCGGTGTAGATCGGGTAGCCAAGAGGTAAAGTTGCCCGATTGCTGTGGAAATCTGTGGAATATGGGCACAAGGCGTCTCACCGCTTCAGCAATTTTCTGGACCAAAATCATACAGCTTCTCTGCTGCAATTTTTGCGACTACGTATCGAACCCGCAATTATGTCACTGTACTGCCATGTACTGCTGCAAGCCGCGGAAGACTGTAAATATGAAGAAAATTGAAGAAAGCAACCCCATGAGGAGAGGGCTTCTGGATGTCTCGCAAGATTATGAGAAAGGGAAGAGGTTCCGCACTTCTCGAAACCAGCCACAACCTCAGATTGCATGCAGCAAATTGCCAGGTCAAGTTTCCATTCGATGACTGCGAGCTCGTAGCCAAGGAGCAAACTTCAACTGCAAATCACGCCAGTGCCCAAGTTCTGCTACTAAGGCTTCTGTGCGATTCAAGAGAGCTGCACGGCGGTCTCGGATTAGCCAGGCTTGAACCTTGATTGCGCAGCTGAGCGCTTGCTTTTGCATAGCATGACGTGTGCACCCCAGCCTCGCGAGCACTGCACGCCTTTGCCATGCAAAGTGCCGATCCATGCAGCCTGGGCGATGAAGGCAGCACCTGTGCAGCTGTGCAACATCGCAGAAATCCAAAGAACAACCGCCAACTGGCCTCCCACAACCTGCCACCAATAGATACACAGCGGTCCGAAAAGTCTGTCATGGCCTTTGCAAAGTAGTCAGTGGATCTTCTGCTATGTGAACTTTCCATTGTGGCAGGCTGCATCATACATGCTCTCGTGGGGGGATGGTCCTGGATGGTCTATCGGCCACCTGAGCTGAGGTATGTAAATCAAATTTTGCTGAGAAGCGCTCAGGGCGGAGCAACGCTTCCTGCGCAGGCACGAAATTCTGCGGATGCTCTTCCAGAAGTAAACGATTGCAAAGGCGTCGGGCTTGAGATCCTCAGGGACAGCAGGTGGACCAGTGACACTCGTGCAGGGCATCCAGGCCTGCAACCATGATAAGAGCTTTGAGCATCTCCCATCATGAGCCGGGTCAGCTAGCACACATGTCAGTCATCATCAGCAGGATCTAAGGCATCTGCCTGCTTGCCACCCTGTGCATATGACTTCTCAAATCTGTTCAGCCCCGGTCAGCTTACTTTCCAATTTATCACAGGCAACAGCCGTTGTAGGAACTGCACAGCATGGCTCGCTTCCGTGCCGGACAGAAAGGTTAGGATGGCCTTCCTAGAACCTTTTGAGCCAAGTCACAAGAGTCCAGACTCAGGCGTACAATTGCCGCAGTGAGTGCGGTGGCATGATAAGGCAAGGACTTCTTGTAGAGTTCATGATCCTCTTTGGAATCAAAGCTGTTGTCCAACTCCTCTAGCGAGACTTCAGCAAGCAATCAAGCTTCTCTGCCAATGCTCAAAAGGCAGCTCTGTAGAACAGTGCCTCTGGCATGCTCTCCAGCTGAGCCTGACACAGGTGACGCAAAAGAGTGCAGACAGAGATGTAGGACGACATGCTTCGGGGGTGAGGCTCACGGCTGAAGATCACATGCTCGAACAAGACTGATCTGAGTTCGGGACGAGCCGGAATGAGAAGACGACCCAGCCACATGCGTCGAGAAGTCTACATATCAGGTCGGAGACTGATTGCATGGAACACCACAAGCTGCAGGTAGGAGTGGCTGCAAACGGTTCAAGTCGCATGTTCTTGATCCAGTCTCAGGACAGGTAGTTCTTATGCACTCTTGACTCTTGCTGCCTTCAGGTAGAAATCCCAAAGCCTGCTCCAAAGCCAGCAGGTTTTGCACTTTGCCCTCGCTGCCAAATCTTTGGAAATCTTGAGCGCTTGCCCAGCAACAGCACACGGGAAACTCGAGCTCTTCAAAGGTACAAAACAGAGCCCAAGTCTAGGTAAGCGATTCAGCGCGCAGATATGTGTCACATGCAAAGGCGTTCACATGCTGGGCAAGGACTCAGTCTGTGAGCGTGTGAAAGAGAAGCATTGATTTGCTCCAGGTCCTATGCCGCCTCAATCTCATTAGGATGTTGCCAGTGTCTGAGTCCCATTTTGGCAATCGGACTAGGCCAGTGATCATTCCGTGCAAGTTGCAAGTCGCGTGATGCCAAAGCCAAAAAGCCTTTCTGCATCACAGTAAGGACCATCCAGCCATGGCCAGGATATGCCTGTGTCGCGTTGCTTTGAAAGAGACTGAAGCAGCAATTGTAGCCGCTTGGCAGTTCCCTTGATCCACACCTGTAGAAGGAAGTCTATAGTGGTGTAGAGGTAGAAGGCCGGAGTGATATTCTTTGGATCACTTGGCAATCCTGGCCATCAAGCCTAGAGGTGCACAGCCAACTACTACACTAACTACTACTGCACCATGCCCAACCCCCAGCACGGCACTCAAGCGCTTGTCTGGAACTGCATTTGCTCAGGGACCCTGCTCCTCACACAATTCATCCAGGCAGAACTATCCTCGTTTCTGAAGTGCCGTGAAACAGCTTTGTACAGTGCCTACACCTTCTGTGTGGCGGTTGCCTAATCTCATCCTGCCCATAGCACGATAATCAAGTGCATGCACAGCTCTCCTTGAAAGCGACTGGCAGAGCTTGTGTGGAATTATCTTCATCTGTATTCTGAGTCCATGGGAGCTACGTTGCATCATACGGAAACTCAACACCGCCAGGGTCGCAAGCAGTTTTCCTGCTGGCCCGCAAGTCTCAGGCTTGATGGCATGCGTTCAGGTGTACCTTTAGGTGCTCCTGCAAAGCAGAACAAGGCTCTCTTATGGTTTCACGTAAACGTCCAACATGATCACATCATTATGGCTGGCTTCTGCTGCATGCGCAATCAGGAAGTTTTTTCGAAGCATGTCTGTGGCATGCTGAAACAAACCAGCCTGAAGCACTTGGTTCGAGTGTTGCAGTCTTCGCTGTGTTTCTTGCGACTGCTCTAAAGCCTGTCGCAAGGACTGTACCTGCGAAGCTGCGAGAAACGGGGAAGTGAACGCTTCTGTTGCAAGCCGTCCAATTGTTTAAGAGCAAGTGATCTTGAAGAGCAAGGATGTTGTTGCGTTTCGGCTGATATTTGACTGCGCCTCGCTGGAGCTGCCTTCGAGTTTCCGACATCGACTCGCTAAGTGACTGACCTTCAGTTTGAAGCTTGGGGAAGGGTTTCAAGCCTAGCGGCCTAGCATCATGCCCAAGCCATCCCTTCCCAACGATGACCACAGTATCCTTCTGAGTTCAGCACCGCCTTTAGCAGAACCTACGATGGAGTTAATTGTTGTTGGCAGCTGCAACCGCACTTCTTTAAAGCAGTGATGTCCCACCTTGTTCGTGTGTTGCAGTCGCGAGCACGTGGCCTTTTGCGAGCATGATCCTACCATTTCAGGAGCGTGTTATCTGGGCCTGCTGGCCTCTACAGCATTCGGGCGCATCTCTTCGCGCAGCTGTTCTGCCTGAAGATCACGAGGTCTTTCACGTGTATGTGTGCCAATGGCCTTGACTCTAAGTCCAAACTTTCAAACTGCACTCATGAACCCCACTACTAGGGTCGGACTACACCCTGACTGCTCCAACACATGCTATGCAGCGATGCAGCCCAAGCTAAGCTGGAGTCTTGGGGCTGGTATGTGTATGTATATATTGCGGATACACACGCCTTTTCTGCGCATATACACACAAGCAGTGTATGAACGTGCGCAGCTTTCTGGCTGTTGCATAAGGTGCTCCCCAGCAAGAAGCTCTTTGTGCTTCCGCCTGCGAGCACAACAGATTTGAGGATTGCGAAAGCGTCCAACGGCTGGTGCTCGCGCACTGCCGAGCCATGGCATTCGTGTCCTCTACCCTTGTAGCGCAAAGGCAGTGGCTTGAGAAAAAATTCCCGTGGAGTCAGATCTTGGATCGAACTTCACAGATCGCTGTGCACAGGTATTAAGACATGGCAAAGCCCGAATCAGGCACTCACGCTCACCTTGTCTGCGCAGTCAGATGGACCTTCAAAGAGACATCGCAAGCCATGCGGTTCTGTGCAGAAGAAGCATTGGCCAGCTCTTAAAAAGTCTTTTTTGAGAACCGCTGGAGAAGTTGCTCTCTTAGGAAATTCCTGAAGAGCAGTGCCAGCAATCCAGCCTTGGCCTCCTGATGCTTTGCAGGTCTTGACGTTGGCAATGTAAGAAAGAATTGCAACCCATACCACCTTGACAGAATGTGCACGTTCTTTGAACTTGCTCGATGTTCCTTGGTCCAACTGTTGGAGCCTCTGCGACATCGTTCCACAAAACTTTGAACTCAATCGGCATCAGCGGAGAATAGGTCACCTTTGCATATCGCACAGTCACTCCAAAGCTGTGCTACCGCTACTGCTCACAGGGAATGCCTAGGGACCAGACTAGATGGACGAATGGCCAAAATCGCCAACTTGAGAACATTGCTGGAGGCACGGTTTTCCGCACATGCGCAATGCTTGCTTCAAGGGTGTTACCCGCCAAAATGCCCAGAAGGAGAGCGTAAGCCTTGGTTGAAAGACATCAACAAAATTCACTCTCTGGCTCCTTGCAATGTTGCTGAGCATCTGCATCAAGGATTGCTGTCCTATTGCAGCCTGTGTCGCAGGCAACCTATTTGGGTGTGTGCATGAGAAAGCTGCAGCTGCAGCAGCAGAAGCAGCAGCAGCAAGCTTCATGCATCTTCATGCGCTGTAAGATCTGGAATTACTGACTCAGCCAAGCTGCTGCATTAAGTATTGCGGAGAACAGCGTCTGGTCCATAACAACTTTTGCAACAATAGCCAGCAGAGAGTCTCCGCTGCTGAACAACTGGGAAAAAGGGCCTTGTCCGAGCAGCAGAGCATACTTCAGAACAAGCGTAACAATGTAACAATCAGAGTCCACACCCCGGCTCTGGCCTTCCAAGAATAGAATCCAGAAATGCAGAATGGGCCCGTGCAGAATCAAACCTGAAGGTCATGGATAAGACAAACATGCTTCTCTGAAGTCTGGACCTTCTAACTCAGGCCAAGGCCTGTGATACCGTTGTGGATGCATCGGCTGACATTTATCGTAGAATGGGCTTCCACTCTCTGCGCGATCAGGTCGCCCAGTACATATGCCACACCTCTGTACAGGGTTATACTAGCAGTAGCTATCAGCTGTTTGGAGTCTTCATGGCTCTAAGGCAATTCAACCAACGCCGCCTGAAGTCAAGGACTTGGCAAGGATTGGCTGCAGGATCGCAAACTCCCCATACATCTCCAGCATGTCACCCGGTACTCGCTTCCAAGCTGCGACGGATTCCACAACGGATTGGGAGGTCATGACAGTGAAGAACCTCAAATATAGCAGCTTTTCCAAAAGCCATCTCCCGTCAAGACACAATGGCATGCCTCGCACCTGGCCTACGTTCAATTGTTTTCTCTCAGGACCAAAGGGTTGCTACACGAAAGGATTTCATCCTGGAAACTGCCGGAAACCAGGAAATTTCCAGAGCCGGGCATTCTTTCTGGCTTGTTGGATCAGCTGTGCAGCCAAGTTGTGACTCAGCAGTCTTCTCTACAGCCAACGGAACTAGAGGATGCGTCTCACAATTGGGCTGCAGCTCTCATCAGAAGAACGACGAATGGAATGGACTGAGGAGCTCCAACCATTGGAATCTAGCGGGAAGGACTGCTTTTGATGCCTCAAGGCCTCAAAGAGAACTGCATTCAGGCGCACACTCCTAGTCTTAGAAGACACCCAACGTTCTCAAGGGTTCGAAGTGGTTGAATCAAGAAAGCGGCTGGAACATTGCAAAAATGATGACTGCATCCTGGTGGAAAAGCAGGCCCACGCCAATTAGTATCACGGACAGGAGCACAGGCAGTCCGTTTTGGTGCTCCAAAAACCTTGGATGCGGTGGATCCCGCAACAAGTCCGTCGAACGTGACCGAGAAGCAAGTCACAGGAGGGTCTGATTGCATGGCGAACTCTCGGTATCTCTCGGTAGTGAAAACATACCCAAGACAGGGAATCCCATGTGCAAGGAGAATCCCGCAGACGGAAGTACCAGCTGTCGCTCAAACTGCAGGCAAAGGTCTGCTCTTCCAGGCCATGTGGTGCTACACAAGCAAAGTTGGCATCAACTTGTCGAGAGCATCCTGCGCCGTGTCGCAGCAAATGCCGTGGCAGAGTCCTGTCCGAAGGAGCCAAAAAAAACAATTTCACTCCAACTGCTGGTGCTGTACAGTAACATGCTGTGCTTACCTTGTCCCTGAGAACGCACTGTGAAATTGTCCTGGTCTTCAGCTCTGCCTCCTCTGGCGGGGAAGCCATCCAAGTTCGTAGCCAGCTGTGGCATTGGGTCACTCCAATACCAAGTGCCAACAAACATAGCCACGTGGAAAGCCAATGGCATCTCAGACATGATGGAGCACGCTTCTTTGCACGCACGGCGCAGGCCATTGGCATCAGGGCTACTTTGGAAGCATCTTGAGATGGAGAGACTGCTGCACAGCATAGTGACTGTCTGCCGCAGCCTGCTCTTGCGCAAACGCAGTCTTCCGCTGACCCAGCCTCGCGCAAAGTGGCTGAACGCACCTGCGACCCGAAGCCTGTCAGTGCCGCCTCAAAACTCATGCCTCTTTGAGGACGCACACTTGGAATCACAAAAAATGAAGCTAAGCAAAGGACACTGCATCTCTGCACAGCCTGCAAAGCAGAACTTTAACATGCTGGATGCTGAAGATTAGCCGAGAAGAGAGCGGAAGCAAGTGGACAGCATTAGGCCACGCATCTTGGATGTAGCTGCGGCAATATACGGCCCACAAAATGTACTTAACTTCGTTTGAACTTGAGCCACGCGGAATTACAAAGGTTTGGCTTCCTGTGCTGCTGTTTGCGCTTTTGCGCAAGGATGATGCAGTTTGCACTGCGGAATCTGGAGGAACAGATACTTAGCACGGCATAGTTCCCATGGCTGTGCATAAAGACTTCAGCAACAGGTCCGCCTTAGATATCCGCCAAAGCCAAAGCCTGGCACACACCTGGGTTGGTTAGATCCAAGGCCCGCAGTCTTGGGAGTAGTTCGCCCTCCCTCAAACCCTCTCGCAGGACGTCACCCGTCGTGTTTGGTCATTCAGAAGGTTTGGCCTGGGGCTCTGGCCCGTTTTCCCCAATCCCCCCACCTCCCACGCCAACGCGGCACTCGCATTAGCATTTAAATCAAGCTGATGTCTACGTTGGTGGGCAGCCTAACCCAGAAAGAGTGGCAAGCGCTACAACAGTTACCGTGGCCACAGATCAGTGGCACCAGATGCTGTCATGCGGAAACGCTAGACGGCAACTCCCAGCAGAAAGTGCGGAAACGGCCAGGAACCCGCATGGGCGCGTCTTCGCTCAAATGTTTGAGAGGCTGAAGGCGACTCACACGGCAGCTCCTCCTGGCTAGGTTATTGAAACTCCAAAGCCTGATAGAAGGCCATCTTGGGGCCCGTTTCTGTCCAACTCACCATCTCGTGTGGGGTGGTATAAGGTCTCGAAAAATTGCCCAGTCCTGCTTAATTACTGGCGAGGCATGATCACGTGCTACAAAGCACTAGGAATTTCAGCGCTATAGCCGTGTCGTGCTCAACCAACCCATCAACTTCTGAAAAATAGTGTTCCTGTCTATCTTGACAACTACCATAGAACCGAGCCTGTTCAACTGATGGACAACCGTGTAGTGATCTGACGACTTCTTCAGCCCAATGCCGAACCAAAGCCTGGAGTGGGCTCAGGCAGCTGCACCTGCCAAGCTTGAGAGAGTCCCGGCCTCTTTGCTCATACCCTCCGTGGATTGAATGGCCTGAGAAGGCAGCAACTACTCGGATTTCGCCATAAAGTCCTAATCTGAGTTTGGCACGGCATTGCTAGGACCTTCAATCATGCCACGAAGTCGCTTCAGTGCGGGCTGATCCTTAGACACAAGTCACAAGCATGGCGACTCTGTCAGAACATGCGCTACCATGCTGCAGCAGCCTGCGCATCATCTGGCATCCTACAATCTGCTTCATCTGCTTCTTCAACTGCCGCAGCAGCCGCTTCGACAAAGTCGGCATCGCAACCGGAAGCCTCTCAAAACAAAAGTCCCGAACTGCCCCGAACTCTTGTATCCAGTGGACACCAAACCTCCTGCACGGCAACCAGTGCATGCTCCTCTGGCCTTGCTAAGGGCAAAGGCCAAATTGATTCAATTGCACAGAGCAGCACACAAATTGAAAACATGCACCGAACATGTTGATGCCAAGGAAGGTGCGACATGGCTGAGGCTCATGCCCTGCCATGAAGACGTCATGTCGAGTGCGCTTGAGAAGAGGTTCCAGAAACTCCTGCTGTACCCGCATGAGCATATCAACATGCTACACATGTGGTCGTTCGTGGGAAGATAAACGTCGTACTCCGCCTCTGTCGTCACAGGCCTCTTGCAGCTAAGGAGCATGACCTCAGTGCCGTTGATTCCAAGCTTGGACATTCTTGATAGCTTCTGGGCTGCAGGAACAAGTGCACATGTCAGCTAGAGGAATGCTGCATGCATGATCTGAGGTGGCGGCTTACAGCACAGCACCGAGCAACTATTTGCTTGCTCGATCCCACAGTTTCTGGGAGCTAGCTGCAATTTGATTTGAGCCGCAGGCAAAAGCAAGTGACCTGTGCTCTCTTGTCTCTTCTTTGGTTCGGCTGTTGCCTTTCTGAATTTTTGTGCAGCATATTGCATATCTGAAGCTTGCTCCATTCCGTGCGTGCTGCACTGATACCAGGTATACCATGCTTCTGTTGACACTTAGCTTTTTCCCTCCTCTCGGCGAAATGTAAGGTCCGCTAGTTCATCAAGGAAACTGCGCATGATGCGAGCTTGCCTTGTGAAGACGAGTTGAAGGAAAGTTGCCGGTGTGCAAGGTGTGACACTGTGATGCGGGTGACTCGTTTTTTCTTCAGCTCCCGGCCTGCAGGCTTCTGCTCTGATGGGCCTGCCGGACTCAGCTGCAGGCTGCAGGTAGGCTTCAAGCTTTGGTGGCTGAGAGCTTGTGACTATCCTGCGTCGTAGCAACGTCTCAGGAATGTCCTTCTGGCTCTGTCCTGAGGCGCATGCTGCTATGAGAAGGATGTGCGTCTACTCTTAAGTCTTTTGGCGGAGAATGTGCATTTTGCGTCACAACATCTGGGGTTTGAACTCAGCAGTGCCGGTAGACCTTTGGTGGCTTCTCGGCGCTTTTCCTGAAAGAAAATCTGCACGCAAACGCTTGAAGTCAGGTGAATGGCCAGCCTCCAGTCTCTGCATGACACTGCCTTGTGATGGTGAAGCAAGTCTGCATGGAGATGTGGGTGCCGCGTGAAACAGTTCAGGGTCATGCTTTGGGAGCATTTCTTTGGCAATGCTAGGATTTTGCTTGCTTTGGGGATGTTTTTCACTGTGGTGTGAGGCTTGACGATGATAAGACGTTTGCCTCCCTGACTTCAACTCCGAGGTTGTGTGGGCATGTTGAGCTCTCTCGGCCTCAGCATCTCCTCATGACGAGGCCCTTTTGGCGTGTACTTGCAGGGCGCCCAGTTTCACTAGTTCGTTCCCGAATATTAGAAGACGCGCTTTGCGCGCTTTGTCCGTGAGGGTCTGGCTTTTGCATCTGAATGATACAGCAGAGCTTCAGCAAGCAACTGGGTGCTCATCAAAATCTGAGGACCGCGCGCGGCAGTTTGCAGACTTCTGCATACCAGGCAGCTTGCCTTTGAAGAATTCAGCTTGAGGGTCTAAACCCCAATGAGGTCCCTCAGCAGCCGCTGACTTTCCGCAGCTTTCTACAACAAGTCAATGGAATTGTAAGACCCAGGCCATGTGGATGGATGCCAGCTGTTTGTTGATGGAAATTGAAAAGTCCTGCACGGACCGTAGGACATCCTGTTGCAAGAGGCATGATGCGATGGCAGACTGTCCCTGCAGCGTCATCAGGGTTCAGCTTCTCGGCTCCAAGCCAAACCTGCGCATCTCGTTGCTAAAGCCGTCTACACTGCCAAAGTTGCCTGCCATTGCATGCACCTCACCTCACTAGCTAGCATTGCATCTGAGTGGCTGCAAGATGATTGAGCCAGTCAAGCCCAGCGCTTTCGTGCAGGGCACGTAGGTGGAAGACCTTTACCTGGCTCAACCTGCATCACCATAAGCAAAGCAAGCGAGTCTAAAAGCATCAACATGTTTGGCACCTTAATCCAAGTTGCTCAGCATCTCTAAGGTTGCTTGCAACGTTCGCCTTGACCCGAACTGATCCAGCTGTTCCATACTCACATCCCGAATAAACAAGCGCTGAAGATTGAACAAATCTGAGGACGCATCGTGGTGAAATGGCATCCAGTCCGATCCATTACCCAGAAGCTCCTGTTTCAGGCAGGAGCGCAGTCTGCTTCCCGTTGTAATATCTGGTTCAGAACCCTTGAACAGAGCAGTAGCTACATGTTGCCCTGCAACCTAGAAATTCTCCAAGGGAAACATGAAAATGAAGACTGGAATTCTCGGTTTCGCTGCATGTACTCAAACACCAGTTGCCATGACCCAGACTTCCCAGGGGCTCCTCTAACGATCTCACATCCACGGAAGGGCCTCCGTTTTCACATCCATACAGAAATCTGCCAAGCCGTCTGTTGCAACATGTTTCAGCACCCTGCCCTTAAGCCAGACCGAATTGCTGTCTTGCAAACACGCTGCTGCTTGCGCTCTTCAGCCAGTCCAGCCAGTCCTGCAGCACGAGATTGCATTGTTAAAATCACGTTTCAAACCTGGGTAGCGCATCAATCCATTTACAAAGGCACGGGCACCTTCACGATGACCAGCACGCGGACCTCTTCATGCCAAGGATCTTTGATCAGGCTGGGTTCCAAAAAGCAAATGAAAATTACAAATATTTATAAATGTGTATTGAGGTGGGTTGGAATGTTGGCAGGCTGTTGGGCGAAGCTGCAGACTGTTGCTGCAGCAACGGTGGCTACACTCAGCCTATTTTCGACCAAACTCTCCCCTCATGTCCTTAACAGCGTTGGGGCGATGAGGGCAAGCATGGGTTATCAACGGCGTCGGCTGCCCATGGTAGCCCGTCTCCAAAGAAGTTTCTCCCATTTAGCAGATCAGTCCACTCACTCAAGTTGAGGGCATGTTGTAGGCACCGTCAGCTCCCCCCGCTTGAGAAACTGGACACTAAGAGCCTGCTTCAGCTGGCCAAGGACTCGTCGCCCTTGTTGAAACTGGAGCAAACTCCAATCCTCCATTTCACACAGGACCAGAGGAATCTTGCAGCGATCCACTCACATAGCGGGCCTTGGTGCCACGTAGTGTTTTTTGCCCGCCGAGGTGAGGCGCCCCTACGGGCCCAAGCCTCAGCGACCGTGACTACTTTACAAGGAAACAGAAGAAGACGGCTAGATGCCACAAAGCCGCTGCGCTGAAGGATCAAGAACGAGTCCCTACGCACATACACCATCCATTTGCATTAGGGTAGTGGACGGAATATGTGCAGTCCCGCAAAGCAGTCATGCCATGAGGATGAACGTGCATCGGGCTATGGGAATTTCTTCAGCTTTCACGCGAGAGGTTGGTATGCCGAGAGGTAGGTATGTCAAAACGGCCCAAACACTCCAGTTCTGGGGCCGCGAGATCATTCCACCCTCTACGTTTGCGCGCCCTCTGCATGTAAGCTCAACAAAAGAAGACCCGGACCAGTGTCCCGTTGCATGTCTGCGTGGACTGTCAATCTCTGCTGGCCGGCCTAGTTGTTGGAGAATTTACGTGTTTCAGTATGAGCGGGTGCGCGATGGTTTGAGCAGGTAGTTCTGAAAGCAGCAGAAGCATGTTCATCTTGCCCAAAGCCAACACCAGCTGGGCTATTTTTTTTGAGTGAGAACTTGGCAAAGCCAAAGGAAAGCATCCTAGCGAACAGCCTTACATCCCTTCGCCGCACAGTTCCAAGCCACTTCGCGAGAGTGCATGTTGAGGCGTAGCTTGCACTTACAACGGCATCCTCGCCGTGCTCCCTCAAAATTGGACGAGTGAATGTAATGGACCCCCAGGGGAATAAGGTCCATCATCGTCATGGGGCAGGGTTGGGCAGCTAACTCTCTCAGTCTAGTGGGGGATAGCGAAGTTGTGAGCCTCAACCCGCACACTGTACAATTAGCTTGGCAACAGGTATGTTGCCAGGCGTGCCAGTGATGTGTCGTACGAAGATGCTCCAAAAACTCAATTTTGGTGGGCGCTTTAGGTCCCAGTGGCTTAGCCCGCTGGGTTCCATAAGCTTCTGAAATGCCTGGACGCGTGGGATGAGGTGCTTCTGGATGCATAATTTAACAATGCACGGTGGTCGATCCAGGCATTGATATCAGCATAGGTTCGCACATCAGGCCGCAGGCTTAACCAGTGTGTGATGTTGCCAGCGCAACGGTCAGCATGATCATTTGCCAAATGCGCCCAAACCAAATCTGGGCCAAACTTGGTCTGGAAAGCTTCTAGGTCAAGATGGGAGTTTACTGACTGCGATTTTGTCTCCGACGCTTGGCAATCAAGTTGGCGAATTCTGCGTCCTGGAGGAGCTCTTGAGGTTGCGCTGTCCTTCAGACAGTGTGGAGCCAACTTCCCTAAGAAGTGTTTGCAGGCGTGGGATGTCACCAAGGAGCTCGAGGTCATTGGCGGATAAATCTTGGAGTTTTGGGACATCTGGATCGAGTAGCTTGGAACGTAGAACGTGGGTGCTATAAGCTATTGTGGCCTGCTGCTGAATTTTGACAGCTGTCTCAAGTTCATCATCCAGGTCCTGGATCTTGCGCTGCAATTCTTCCTGCCCTGCTTGAAGTTTCTCCAACTGTTGCTGTAGTAGGTGACGCCTATTGCTCAATTGCCTAACAGTTGATTGCGCTTCACGCAGGTTCTTCTGTGCAAGCGCGGCCTGATCCACCCGTGGCTTGAACTTCTGCATGAGCGCTGTTGTTTCCTCTTGTAGACTTCCCTGTGGTGCGTACTGTGTGAGAATGCGGTTGCAAAGGCTGTGCCACACTTCCCAGACTTCCGGTGGCAGTTTCACCGTCTCAGGAGTAAGCCAGATATCGGATCAAGCCTGAAGGTGACATAGTTAACACATGCCATGCCGTACCAACATTGGGATGATTTGGAACAGTATGATTTTGGGTGTGATCATCATGCTTTTCTTGCTGAGCAACGGTGGGGTCAGAGACCACCTTGGCGCAAAGAATACCGGCCATCACATTATTGACCGCCAATTTGGAGGAACAGTTCACGCGGGAAAGGAAACAAGGGTAGCAAGGTTGACTACGCTGGCCGCAACATGTATGTTATGTGTCAAACCTGCGGAGATTGGAAGTGGATCAACCGCTTGCACAGCATGGCCAGATGCCCGTGCGGAGCCAGTTGGACACCCGAAATTCTCGACAAGTTTTATGCTACCTATGGCACCTTCCCCCATCATCTGGCCAAAACCAGCTGCCCTGCCTCCAGGGCGGCAGCAGGGCCGGAAAGGGAGCAAGGCACACATGATGGGCAACCCTACCTACAACCGGTACCTCAAACAGCCGGACTGCATGAAGAAGAAAGGCAGCCACGTGAAACCCACCACATGGGTGAACGACCAGCTGAGCCGGCGTGATGGCCAAGGCGTGGACACTGCAACATGCAAACTAAGTAGTGAAGAAGTCAGGCATACTCAGGCAGGAGCAGCTTGCGAGGGACCAGGTGCTGCAAATATGTGCGCCGGAAAAGGTAGTTGAGACCTTCGGGTGGCATCGGGAAGAGCAATTTGACCCCTTGCAGAACAAGTCAAGAGCTCCCATGCTGTCTGATGACCGTGAAGCTTTGTCGCCGACCTCCTTCCAGGCAAACGTCCGCTGGATCCGCCAGTAGCTCCAGCTGCGGATGTTGCCTTGGAAATGTTGACGCGCTATGCAAGGAAGCTTTTCGCAAGATGCCTTGGGGCCACGGCTTTAACCATGCCTGCAGCTTCTTTGCATGGGTCTGTTGGACAGAACTTCCCAGCCTTTGGAATGCACAATATGCAGAGCAAGGCCGCCGACAGCCAGGGATGTTGTACCGCTACGACCAACTCCGGCAATGACCCACTGGAGATCGACCTGCCGGATCAGCAAGCCCTCCAGTCCAACGCAGGGAGATGCTTACCTCTAGCTGCACTGGCAGTAAGCCTATGCAACAAATATCCAAGACTGCACAACGTTTGATCGAATGTGACGGGGCAGCATAATGTCGAGTGAGAAGGCAGTCAGCGGTCACTAGGGTTCTCTGCCGCTTCAGGCTCAGTTCTCATGACTCCTTTTCACGTCTGCTCCGAAGCTGGACAACCCTTTGACGAATCTGGTGAATGAATACCAGCCATCAACTGGCAAGTGGTCAGCTTGATTCGGATATTAAGGGTACGCCTCCGCTATGTGAGCCAGCTCAGTAACGGTGATGTTCTGCGCTGGAACCGAGAAACCTGTCTGGGTGCAGGGCAAGACGCAAGACAGAAAGGCATACCGAGCAAAATGCCTGGATGCCACATCGACATAATCTCCACGGTCCACCATCTGACAGCCTTCGTCACTGTTTCAAAGCTGTGAAAGCCCTGGCTCCAGCCTGCCTTTGCTCTGGCAAGTCTCAGAGTCTCTGTCACAAAAGCAATTCCGGACTTTGGGATTATGAGCCCTTAGCCAGGTCAATGTCAGGACTCTTGGCTTTTAGACATGCCAGACGCTACACTGTGTGCCCTTTGCTTTTTGGGGGGCCGTGTGCAGCCTTTGTCAAAGACTTGCTACTAAATTTTACTAAATATGTTTACAGGAAGGTGCTGAGCCCACAAACCCTGCCACGGTTGACCCTGGCAGCAGGAGTCTGAGATCAGCACATTCACAGGGCAAGCAACAGGTGCACAGACACCGAGGTCATAGTCCTTGGAAATATCTGCCCAAATCAAACAACTGAATGGATCTCGCACCGTTTGAGCGGAGGGTCACCGTCGCGAGTCACAAATGCCTTGGAAATGTCAGGGTTGCAAGAAAATGCCCTGCAAAGATGCTTGTGGTCATGATGTGTCTGGGATGCTGTCTGGGGTGCAGCTCCGAAAAACTGGCCCCCAAGCCGGTGGCAAGCGGAATAGTGGCGTGCAGCAATCTCCACATGAAGGACATCTGCCTGCAATGTGCTAGGCATTGCAACTACTCCCTTGTCACCCCGTGGTTGTGGCACGGCTGCACAGTAGAGAATAGCCATCTTGAACACTCTGGGATACTCTGAGCCTCTCTTGCTCTCTACTAGCTCACTAGTGCCCCTGCCGATGGCGGGCGACGCACCGAATTATGCAGCTCCTTGCCTCAGGGCCCATTTCCGCTTCAACCTTTGTGGGGACGCTTCGCACCTGCTAGCGCAGCAGCGAGTGTGCATTCTCAGCTATAGCAACCTCTGAAACAAAAAGCACGCACCTGCGCGCCAAACAGGCCTTCCATCTGCAACTTCTTCAGGGCTTTCGCCGATGGTGAACAAAGAGGCAGTTAGCAAAAGACACACAGAGCGTGTCCTGGCTGAGGTACTTCCACTTGCACCGTTCAGACAGACACCCCGCATCTGTCTGCTCCGCTTCAATACGCTCACGGCAGAGGACCTGCCAAGGCTCCGTTTACAACAGCTGCTCTTAACATTGGAGCGAGGACACTTACTCAACCCCAACACGTGATGTTCCCCGAAGCTGTTTATGCTAGTTGCAGCTGATTGCCCAATTCGCCTCGGTCTCCTGGCTGTTGGGTAGGCCTTGGCTGCATCAGCCCTTTGCATCTATGACCAGGCATCCTGCTGCCGATGGAGATCTGGCATCAGGCACAACATCAACGCGCTTGGCCCTATCCAGGATTCTGACTTGTTGAGGCACAAGGCCATGCGGAAGGCAGTGACACAGAGCCTCCGGTACTTGCAACCTCTGCTTCGCATGTGAAACATTTGGAGGTACCAACTTGCACATCCAGGGCACCAACGCGTAGTTCCAAGATCCGCGGCAGCGCAAGTTGGCTGAAATGGTCCACGCAAGCATCTGGAATGCAGGCACCCACGCGTAGCCTCACAAGAAATTTGCACATGATGTCCGAATAGCTACGACTGATAAGCGACCCATTCCAACAGCGTTGCTTGTCGCAAGGTGGGTGTATAAGAGCAAGCACCATCTAGCAGTTTGAAGTTGGCATACTGAATACCCAAACGTGCATTGACAGTAAACCGCCAGACCTCTCAAGCGTGAGTTGTACAATGGAGTTGCTTCTTTTTCTCAGAATGCTTCTGATAGTAAAAGCTCTGTGCCGCTGTTGTGCCCCAACTGCCGCAACACCCAGCTGCTGAACGACTGACTCAACGCAGATGATGTTTGGCCGTAGATCTGGGTGCAGGGCCAGCGGTTTCCATTGGTGGAGCTCTGAATCTTTGCCAGCTGCAAATACCTCTGCTCGAGGCTCGAGCTGCAAGACATGCAGATCTACTTGGCGCCATGTGAACCAGGAAGGGGCACAAGGAAAGTATGAATGTGTGTGCAAACGCCACTCCGTGAAAAGCGCAGCGATTCCATGCGGAAGCCTCAGCCGTCTGAAAGTATGCGCCATTACTTCGGAGTTCCAAGCATCTCGTGGCTCGCGCCAACTCTTGAGCTGACATCAAGACAGCGTCCGCGATGACCAGGCTCAAATGCAGCTCAAGGCCAGCATGACCTCAGGTAGCCAGCAACATGCTGCGATGTTCGCTTTGCCAGACCACCTTTGCCAATCTGCGGACCTGCACGGCTCAGCATTTCAGCGCATATGTGTGCAGGATCTGAAAGAGCACCGTTCCATACCTGAAGTACCTGAAAAGTGCAAGAAAGCCATCAAGAAGGCCTTTGATGCGGATGGGGCGGCAAACTAAACCCTGGCCTGACCATGCGCTTGACACACTACCATCGCGCTCGTGATGTCCACTGTACCGTAAAAATGAACATGAATCTGTTAAAAACCTCTACGAAGATTCCGACACTCTGGTCAATGTTTGGAAGGATCTGTATGCATCAATGAAGAACGGCAGGTGTCCTTTGCATGGAACCAGGTCATTGACGAGATGTTTCAACTTGTGCAAGCTGCCCACACTCCAGAGTGAATGCAGGAAGATGAGATCAGAAAGGCTTCTGAGTCGCCTCTTGATAATTCGGACAAGTTCTCGCTGATGAACGCTGAGCCGAAAGCCCTTGGCGCAATCCAGTCATGCAGCCTTGGTGTAACACTTCTTGAGAAGCAACTGGGAAGCTTGAACTTTAGGTGTCGAGTAGGCTCCTACACCTGTATGGGCAAAATAGCAATGGGGCAGCACATTTATGCTGGGGTCCATCCATTCACAGCTAACAAGCTCTGTGTCTGTAGAACTGGGACAACAAACAATCGGCAATAACCAGCTTCTCGGCACGGCAAGCGCAAGTGAATACTTAACTCGGTCGCTAGACTGTCCTGTGCAGGAACCATTTTCTGGGTGCAGCATGAACACGCATGCGAGAACTTGCGACGCAGGACTCACATCAGCGTGTGAGTAAATTGTAAAGGCTGAATGAATCTTTCCCTGGCAATGCTACATAGACGCGCACACACACACAAATGAAATTTCTGTTTCCTGCAATTATTGGCTATTTTGCGCGGCATGAAAGTTGGCTATGCCGCATCGCCCTGATCTGGCAAGCTGATAGATGCAACATACCGAATGTGTGATAAACCGAATCTGCACCGGATTTCAACCTGCCTAGCTCCTGCATTCGATCCGACTGCATGCACTTCGAAATTCTATCAGCTGGCTGTGCAACTTTTGAAATTGGCGTCTTGGACGCTCTGTGTGAAAGCTACAGACTTTGATGTGAGTCGTTAAGATGCTCCATGGCCTGCGTTGTCTATGATCATTTGACTATCATGGGCTTGGCTTTAGTGTGCCAAGGGAAGGCAGGACTTCCCAAGGCGTCAGCAAGCCGCGTTTCAGTACTGGGACATTCCAGCACCCATCCTTCAGACAATGGACAGCTGTTTCCAACAGAGGTCTGCCAGCAAATGCCAGCAAGCTAAGAGCCTGCGGCACTCTGCTAGCAGTGCTTCCAAGTCTTCAACCTGAGCAGTGTCCAAGCGCTGGTGACCCACTGCTTTGGAAATTGCTGCAACTGCTGCCTGGCTTCCGTCTGCGCCAGCACCTGACACATTCGTCTTGCCATCTACTCTGAGTAACGGGCATAGCTGTCATTGCCACTGCAACCAATCACATGTTGACAGCTGCATGCGCCTGAACCGGACTCAGCATCAATATCAGCAGCGTATGCCTCTGACTGTGCGGACACTGAAAGGCGTTCTCTTCTGCGTGGGGGGGGGGGACATGTATAAGCTGAAAGCGGAGATGTGCTGAATGTTCTGAAAAAGTTCACAGCTCGATCGCAGGGTGCAGGGCTGCACAGACCGCACAATCCTGCACTGCCCTCGTTGAATCAGAGATTGGACATGGGCACAGGCGCAGTGTTTGCTGCTACACTGCTGTAGACGGGATTCCACACGCTCCATCCGGCAAATGCTTTCCCGTTATGTGGGTTGTTGCCAGTAGTCTTGTTCCTGGAACTGACCTTAATTCGGTTTTCCCTGCCTTCCGCCTCATGCGGCAAGTATCTTGCAGGACCATATCATGATGAAAGATTTGGCTCTGATTTTTCAAAGTGTCAACTGTATCTAGCGCGGTGCCTTTTTTGCTTTCGCTAGGCTTCCATCTCTGTCCTTTCCATACCGAACGTAATACGCGTTACGCCGGCCGTCCTTGAGGCGCT